CCGAAAGACTGCAGTAATTAACCAGCTATAATAACATTAAAGTAATTCTTACCTTAAAGTTCTCTCCCCCTTTTCCGAACTGCTGCAGTGCTTCCGCCAGTGACCGACGGTTGGCGCCAAATACCCATAATGCACCACGGGGGGCGAAGTTCGAGCAAATAGTTTGTTGAGTGGTTCTGCATAAGAAGATTTGTTGAGCCACTTACATACAGCTTGTTAAGGACAAAAATCAAAACGACCAGTGTTTTGAACAAATGTAGACTAATTCACAACTTGATATATTCATGTCAAAAGATAAACATTGTTTTTTATTGTTATTTTCACAGGCTTTATTAAGTCACAACTACATATTCTTAGATTCACTTTTTTCAGTGTAGCCAAGCTGACATCCATCATGAACCAGACCTCTCACCTCCTGCATGTGGAGACCTTCAGCAGCTCCTTCAGCAGCTCCATCAGCAACAGGCTGCTACAGCCACAACACCAGAAGGAAGGCTACCACAGGTTCCTTCTGCAGTCATGTAATCTGTTTAACACGTACACGTCCAGCTTTGCATCCGTTTTTGTGCAAATGCTAAAGCAGTAACAATTACTCCAACTACTTTCAGGGGCCTTTATGGGGTCGCTGGTGCTCCTTCTAAGCTTTCTACATCCGTATGCGTGGAGGTCCTTTTATCAGCACACCTGCACAAACCACGGAGTCATAAAAGGAACAATTTCCCAAATACTTGCAAACCCCAACCCAAAGAGTTTTAATATCCTACTGGTTGTTTTTGTTGTTATTGCTGTTGTTTGTTTATTTTTTTAGAGCAATAATTTTTTACTTTTGAATAAATTCTGGCAGCGATCGACTCTTTTTCACAGCAAACACAGCAGGACAGGCTCAGATGTAATAACAGTGCCTCCGGTCCATGCTGTTGACCATGTTGCTGTGAACACTGGAGCACTGTCACAGCTTACTGGGACACCTCACATCATTCTGTTATTTCTACTGCTTTTGCTGTGACAAGTCAAAATGTCTGCTGTGAAAATGGTCTGTTCTGCTGCTCGCTTCTCTTTTCATCAGTTTTGGTTCTCACTGTGAACCTTAAACAAATGGGACTCTCTGTGCTCGGTGGCTAATCAGCCATTTAAATGTAGATCCAGAGGTGGATGGCTGAAGCTCAGGATTTCCAAAGGACAGTTTACTGTGCGCCAGTTATTGTTTGGAACCTTGATTAACTCCATGTTTGCTTGGAAACCCTGCAGCTTGTGAATGGCTCCTGTGTGTCAGTTGGTGCTAATTTAACAAATATAAATGTACAACAGGGTAGCATTTGGAACCCAGTCATCTATGAACAACTGAAAAGTCAGAACCAGGGAGTTTGGACCATTTGGTTGGAATGGAAAAGACTGTAAAGGATTACTGCATTTTCTAAAACAGATGCCATTCACTTGTTGTTGTTTTTTTTGCAGCCTACTTGGTGGTTAATCTATTTGTTTTAGCTCTGTATTCTCTGAAACGTAATTAAGGGCAACTATTCCCACCACTTCATTAAATGCATAGTTGCAGGATAAAATCTTGAATTTACGGATTTAAATAAACCTTTTCATTTTTTATTTTTTGCATTGTTTTGATAGGTTGGCTTGACATAATACTATTGGTGAAATGTGATAATATTTTAATTTCTATTTTAAATTCAGTTTGTAGTAACTTAATTAAACTTGATTTCAAGTCTCTTCCCACTAAACACGCCTGGCTGTGCAGACTAAATGTCAGCGGCTTCAGACTGTGTGTCAGAGGACCTGTAAGCTAAACTCATATCATTTCTTTTACAACTATTTGGTCATAGTTTCAGCTGTGAGGCAGAGTTTGGGCCACACATGCTCATATAGCTGATGGAACATGTTGTCCTGCTCAGGTTGCGAACGCTCGTCAATTTAGATTTGGCCCTTGAGTTTAGTGAAATAGTGGATAAGTAGGATAAAGTTTCAGCTGCTGCTTGTCATGTTTATTATTTGAATCAATTAATACCTTAAAAACTACCACAGAAAAAAGAAAAAAAACAAAAACTACTGAAGAAAATCTAAGTGGAACAAGTAGAGCTGTCGACTTAATAACTTATATTTATGGTAATTAAGTACAAAACATACAAAAAGTCATTAAAACAAACTAGTTGGTGCAACTTCCTTTTTATGATTAACTGACTCATAGACTGGTGTTAATCACCAGTAAGTAAAGATGCACAGATTGTTCAGTCCAAACCTTTCAGAGTGAGCCATTCATGGACAGGCTCGTTTCAAATGGACTGAACACAAAACCCTCATTTTACATCAGAGCTTCTTGTTTCACTAAACTAGAAACTAGAAGCTATTGACTGGATAGAAAACAGCCCAAACACTAAAACTAACAAACATTTAGATGAATAATAACACTGAGCAGCATCAGTTTGTTGGTCTGGTTCCTGTGTCTGTGCTGGACCCTGGTTCTGGCCGGTCAGTGGCACTGTGGTCCTCTGAGCACCAACTCGGTGTTCTGCTCTCCTGCACTACAAAGGCACAATAACAACAGCTGCTCTCATCTCACTGCACTTCTCCGGGAAAGATGGCGTGAAGATAAGTTAAGAAAGCCATTTTCCAGCGCGCTGCCTCCTGCAAAGCTGTTGCACTTGTCTAAATGGCAGAGCTGCCCTCACACTGAGCTGCTGCTGCTTTATTTTAAGGCGCGGGTTGTTGTGCGCGTCAACAATAAGGAACATGCTGCTGGAGCGGCGCGGAGCGCGTTAAATGAGCGCGTTTCACTCAATGGGATTTTTATATTTAGCTGTGTGAGGGACGCGCCAGACGAGCAGCAGGGCAGCGGGAAGAGGAGACCCCGATCCCGGTGTTGTCTGACATTTTGGTCCCTTTGAGACCGTTTCGAGCCCCAAAAACTTGCCGTTCGTATCGCGCTACCAGGCTATGTGGTGGTGGTGAGGGCGCTGTGCGTGTGACTGAGAGGGGGAATAGCGCAAATCTATCTACAGCTCCTCGGGGGAAAGATGATGATGGCCGGTGGTGGTGGCGGAGCAGCCGTGGACCATAACGGGATCTACTCAAATCCGAACCTCCACAGCCTGCAGCAGCCCCATATGGAGGCTGATAACGCGGACTCCCGTAAACGACCGCTGGAAACTCCGGCTGAGGAGGCCGGCTGTACCAAACGCACCAACACTGGAGGTAAGAGAGAAACAAGAAGCAGCTCCTCCACCGTGTCTCCTCCACATGAAGTCAGAGCTGTTGTTGTGCGAGCCTTTGCATGTGTGGTGGAAGTGCAACAGCAAAACACAGCTCCACTGTGAATGCACTGAAACACAGGCAGAGCCCAGCAGCAGGTCTGGGCTGCATGTTGGCTGCAGCCGAACATGCAGCACCTGTGCACTTGGCACTGTGAAGCACTGCCCGTGTTTATAGCTGTTACTTCATATGCTGCAGATCCCAGCAGGGACAGCAGGCAGCCTGACTGAGCCAGCGGCCTCCTCGGCTCAGGTCAGCTTTGAATTTGAACCCAGTCACCTCTGGGCTCCACATCTGGAGGTGTGCTGTGAAGTCTTTCATTCAGAAGAGACGTGGTGATTTGTGTGCAGAGGCTATAATGTTATAAAGTGTACATGCTGCTTATCATTGTGTCAGTGTTGCAGTCTCTGACAGGGATTCCCTCATGCTTTCTTGTGCAGAGACCAAAGACAAATCTGCGCTTTGCACGATGTGATGAGGAAGTTGTTGACAGGTTACAGTGGCAGAAACAGAAGAAGAAGAGAGCCTATGACAGTCATGTCAGAGCAGTCTCTAACCTGCATCCTATAGTGCCAACTTTGTGAATCAGTAGTGACGGGAAACATCCTGTTCGGGCCTCGGCTCAGATCACTGGGGAACCACTCACCTGGAGTGGGAGACGTATTTTCTGGGTTGAGGTCCCACTGATCTCACTCTTTGATCCGCTGTTGATTTGTGAGCACCGACAAGAAATGGACAAGTAACAGCAGCACTCTCAGGTTCCCCTCAGATGGATGCAGGTCTCTGCAGATTTAGTGTTTGAGATCTCTGACATTTTAGTGACATATTCCTGGTTTAGGCTGATTCAGAGCTGTCGCATTAACACACTTTAAGTGCAAAGGTGAGCTATGTAGAAAAGCCAACAAGTGAAAATCATGCAGCCCTTCAGGGTTCACCCTCATCACCAGTGGTAGTTAGATTCCTATCAAACTCAGGTTATTTATAGGCTGCCCAGTCTCAGCATCTGTTTGGTATTTTGTTAGCCTGTCTGACATACCAGCTTGTATGCTGCCTCTGTGATGGTAAAATTTTGAAATACTTGAATTCTTACCACGTACGTGCTCAACAAGCAGGGCTGGGTGGTGCAGCTGTTGTCAAACGAGGATATTCCTGCACGGAAATCTGAACACTCTGATTGAAGTTAAAGGATAATAACAGATCAGACAGAAGCCCTCCACGTTACATCTAGCAGGAGTGAGACTAGTGCAGAAATAATACAGCGCCATTTTAATGAATTGATCTGAATTTCCTTTTCTGGAGGAAAAATGGTTTTGGCCAATAAAGAATCAACAAGGAGGTGTGTGTGCTCATGCTTTATTATTCGTCAGTAAGATGTCGGGGTGCAGCAGTGAGGATGATGGCTGAATCCAGCTACTGTACATCTTATTTCAGCTTGTGATTGTCACGGTCTGCAGCTCACAGGGACCACTTATTTAGGAACTTAATGTTAATTAGACATCTACAGAGAATAGGCAGTTTCTTCACCATATGTTACTGAAATTTCTTTGTCTTTGTGTCCCAGACACCCCGCCATTCAGTGGCAGCAGCATTATATCCTGTTTCTAACAGCACGAGCACGCTTCTGCTGCACCTCACTGCACCTCTGAAATGTAATTTCAGCGGGGCACATAAGAACCCTTGTGCCACCAGACAGTATTTTAAAACTGATTCACCCCCCATATGTCCTCCATTAGCACCCGTAAAACCTCTGTGGAACAGTGCAGTCACATGGCGTTCTGCCTCAAGGAGAGTTTTCACCATTCAGGCGTGGTACACAGACTTTGCCACAATCTTCCTGTCTAATACTGAGGTGATAGGAATGGCTTGATGGTGTGAGATTACATTTGGAAAATCTTGATAAATACTGCAAAGCATATTTCACACAGTCAGACTTTTTTTTTAATGCTCTTTCATCCTGCTCTACCAAGCCGACTGCTGGTTTTTAAAGGCAGCTTCATCACACTTTCTGAGTCTGGAGCTGCACAATTAATATTGTGCTGATGACGGTTTAACTCTGAAGAGGCTTCCTTGTTTTCTCAGAGGCAAAGGTTTTCCAGATGGCTTCCTAAAGCAGATCTTATCTTTGAACAATACCTGATCACTTAATCAAGGAAAACAATGAGAACGTCCCATTTGTAGTCATTACCGTCTCATCCCCAAGCTGCTGCTGTTTTGTGCATTGTAGAAAAAAAGGTGGACACGTGCAATTAATATTTCAAATTACAATCACGATGTGTGCGTTTAGCGCTTTGCTAGCATTTTAAAATAAATGCTAAGATTCAGGAAGTGTATAAGCTCAACATCACACACCAGGAATTACTCGTTTTTGTCATTTAGATTTTGAACGTGCAGCTTTTCATTTGTCAAGACAAATTTGGCTTGCGGTCAGCATCAGAGTGTCAAAAATGAATTAAACTGTTTTATCATCAGATCTTAATGAAGTCCATTTTATTCAGTGACTTGTATCACTGCAGCGTCTGTCTACAGGCCCCTTATTGCTCTTCTTCATGGAGGTATTGACTGTATTTATTATACGCAAAATGCAGTTTCTGTAATACAGTTTAGCTTAGCACAATCTCAAAAGCAATATCTGTCTTTGAATTAGAGTTATTCAGGCAAAATGTCAGACAGTGTGGGGGGCATTTTGATAAACAGTTTAATGCACTTTGGGGCTAATTTTACCACAATCCTGCAGGCTGAGCTCGACCACACAGTCTACCTTCACCTGAGGTGCACATTTGTAATGACTTACAGAAAACAAATGTTTCATGAGCATCCTGTCGCCCGGTGCTTTATGTAACGTGTTTCAGCATCGCCTCCCGTCGCACATGCGTTACATGTAACAATGCAAACCCACAGCCTGCCTGGCAGCACTGGTAGACAGCCTGATCATCTTCAGCCATCCCTGTAATCACCAACCCCTTGACTACGTCTGATATTGATCACGTTATTCCTACCGAACTGATCATTAACATGACTGGCAGTTACAACAAAGAGAAGAAAGCCTGTGCTCTTTCAAAGCTGAGCCCCTCGTTGTGCATTAAGAGCCGTGGACACTGAATGAGGGAAATTACTCCTCTTTTATCAGCGTTGCCCTTCTCTCCTCAAAATGAACATCTTTCATTCATTTCTCTTTCTAATTACCCATACTCTGAGCCCATGTTGCTGGCAAGCATGTGTCTTCCAAAAGGTTGTGTGGCTGAGGGATTAGGTATGATCTCGTAATGTTGCTAATGGAAAGGTTGGCACAGGAATGTGAGCTGTATTTTTTATTTTTTTTTAATTTTTGGTGGGAAGGACACAGGTGCCCTTGCAGAGCGATGTGACGTGAGCGGACTGTGAATTTGCCAGGTGGCAGTGAAAGAGAGAATGAGAGAGAGCGATAGAAATGAAGACAGAGCAAAGCGGAGAGAAAGGGAGAGATAGATAGACCGTGAGAGGGAGTGGAGTCTACAGGGAAGCTGTGTCTATATACCAGAGCATCTCTCAGTAAATGAGACTGCTAAAATTTTCTGCAAGGCATTTGCTTCAAAACCAAATGGGCCACGATGTTCAGGTTTGATTTGTGGATGAAACTAATCAGCAGTCAGGAAAAAAAAAGGAGTTCTGTGCTTTCTGTAGGTTCCCTGGAAAGCACAGTTAAATGAAGCTGGACCTCCCGTGTCCACGCGCAGACACTGACGCACATGCACATTGCAGTTTTTACACACATTCAGTCACTTAAGATACCTCTCGGTGTAAGATTTATAGGCGTAGTGATTGGCTTCATCACCCCCCTCCACCATTCTGCGGCACTGCCATTTGCAATGGTTGATGAGCCCCTCCGCCCTCTCAAACATGGCCGTCTAAGGGATTGGGGGTGGGGGAAAGGAGGAAAGGAGGGTGGGTGGCGTAAGGCACGCTGTCTCAGATCACTCCTCCTCCACCTCCTTCATCATCTGCTTATGTTATCCATACACCTCTTCAGCCACCGTTGAAGGTCACTCCACATGCTTCCTCATTCACCGCTAAAGCCCGCTCCCTCAGCCACTTCACCTTTGTCACTTTCTACAAAAAAAGTGAGTGAATGGACTGCCATACTTTATAGTGCTGCGTCAAAAGAGGCGGAGTAGGGGAGAAAATTCAATTTTTTGGGACCGGTATCGGGGGGTGGGGACATGACGTTCTGGAGGGAGGAGGCTGCCCATTGGCCGAGCGAGGTGTCAGTCCTGCGCGCTGCTGCAGACGGACAGGCCACTCGATGAATATGGATGAGAGCAGTGAAAAGGGTGATGCGGCAGGGAAGACCCCCCCCTTCAAACCGATGCAGGCTTGAACAATGCGTGCCGTCTTTCACTGAAAACACTGAGAGCCTGCATTAGCATTTTCTCAGACAATTGAGGCTCTGGCCAGCTGCAGGCATGGCTCGGATGCTGCGGTGAAATCTCTTTTTCTGCACCCACTGATGAATTAGACCTCGGTGAAAAAGGTCGACTGGCCGCATTCCTCAACACTACCATTGCACCTATGCCTAGGCTAATGTTAAGATCCCCTTTAGAGATTGTACCGCGGCATTGATGGCGATCTGACAGAGGACTTGAGAAGCAGAAGATCTCAGAATGGGTAAGCCTCAAACTCTTTATGTCTGACTTGTTGAATTTATCCATCATGCTAGACTACATGCAATTTCATACATCTGAAGCTCATTTGTTCATTATTGCTCATTTTTGTTCCATCGTCCTTGCTGCCTGTCAGGAGCAGGTTAGTCCATTGAAATGCAGAATGGGTACTTGGAGGGGTAGTGGGAAGGAGGGAGGACGGTCACAAGGCATTTCCTCCTGACCCACCCCCCTCGAGTGACTTAACTAAACACATTTGGCTCAGAGTCCGTGTCTCTCCTCCAAGCCATCCTTCCAGTATTGGAAGCAGGGGTTTGAACTAACACCCCACTGGCTCCGCTTCCCAATGTGCCCCACTGCTCCCGTTCCCTGGCGGATTGCAGCAACAGATTGCCATGTTTACTCTACCACATGACGCCATTAAAACCTGTTACTGTGATCTCAGACACTAGGACGGAATTAATTATTGACTAATGACAGCAAACGTGGCTGTGAGGGCGATGGAGGGAATCTTAGTGGCTTCCTCCCCTGCTGGGTTTACTCTGGCTGAAGATGAGCAGAAAGTTACGCAGTGGGTTTGGGCTTGTCTGTCAACAACAGGTCTTTGGATGTTTGGATCCTGCAATCAGCATCATTCAAATGAGACTCTTTTTGTGGCCACGGTATCTGATACACTGCGATAGGAGTGAGGTCTCGAAAGCTTTACGGCGACCGAGTCAGTCGTGAATGATGGTTATTTTTTCACCAAGGTCATTTTATTGTTATTCATTGAGAGAAAAACAGAGAGCTGACTGCAATGTAGTACAGAAGTCCAAATATCAGAAAATGGCCAGGGAGGATTTGAGCCAGTTGTGGGATGTCTGCGTGAAGATTTCTCTTCTATTTCTTTGTTCTCAGAAAAATGACATAGTGACCAACACCTGACATATTTCCTAGCTTTTGATGATGTCTACGTATGCGAGTCCATGCTAATGTAGGCATAATGCATCATGGGATTTTGGATTGTCTCCATGAGTACGGCTAATTAATCCAAATCGAAAGTGAAATTGCGTTAACAGTCATGTCATTGTCTGTATATTTGTCAGAGCAATTGGTTATGGGTGATGTGCACGAAAAACAAGCCTGTGTCTGAATGGAACATGAGGGGCATATTAATGCAATAAGGAGAAGAACCAACATGTAGGCTGTGAAATTCCTTAATGTCACAGTGCCATGTTCATTCACATCTGAGTCTAATGAGTGCATAACTGAGGCAACAGGTTGGTCTCAGTGCAGGGCGGTCCACCTCCATCCATCCATCCATTCATCCATCCTCCATCCATCCTCCATCCATCCCCACCATACCGGTCAAAGCCCCCACAGTCGGGACCCTGCACAGGGATGCAGTGACACTGTGACAGACCCTGTGGCTTTGACAGCCGAGATCGAAAATCCGTTCTCGTGCTACACTTTAAAATATATCACAGATCTCGTCATACTAGGACGGACAGTGCCTTTTTACATCTCTACCCGCTCCAGTGATGTCACCCTTGGAGCAGCTGAAAAGGATCGAACATGACGTCATTGCATCCACATCAGCATGCAGAGCAGAGTATTTGTATCAGTGCTTCAGTATACTAAGTATGCACCTTTACTCAGAGTTAAGCATGACGTCATCTATATAATATCTGGAATTCAGTGAGTAATCCTGGCTGCCACGCATCTATAAATATCATATTTTTGATGTGTTGTTGGCAGGTTCTTTAATAGTATTTGGGTCCGAGCTCAATATGTGGCTGATTACTGTTTAGTAGATTATGCACTCAGTGTGATCAGGGTGTTCTTGGACAGACGTTTTTCCCGCTTTGGTGCTGATTAATTCTTAATTAGAATTATAGAAAAAGTAACTTTCCCAGCTGAAAGGGAGAAACATGTTTGGCCGCTAATTCTTCAACCTGACGTGCTGTCAATCAGCGACTGCTACAAGCCACTGTAAGCCACCGAAGCCCCTTCCAAAATGGAGGAGATTTAGACCATCTTGGCAGTATACCCTTTCAACAAATCTGTGGGATTGGTTCCCATATGTCCTCCACACGTCTGTTAATTACGAAGGATCACTCTGTCTTGGCATTCATGAACTGCATGGAGAATGAGTTCATGTGTTTGCGTTTAGTCCTCCGAGTGTCACTTTCTTTCTCAGGATGCATCATTTTCACATTCGGGCTGAACTATTAGTTCTGCTTTCCTTCCATTCATGTGTGAAGACTGGTTTTAACGCCGGGCTTGGCTGTGTATTTAGTAGGTGGTTGCTAAAACTCCTTGAAAACAGTTAAAATTAGACCTCTGCAAACTGGAAAGGAGGTCATCATTTACTCCACAAGAAATCTGGGACAGGACACAGAACATGTCACCAATCTCTGGTAAAATGTGAATGCAGTGAAAGCTACCAAGACTCCTACTCAAAAGGCAAACATGTCTTTTGAGGTACCTTCCCTTCACCAGCAGAACACAGAATCATAAATACGTTAGTACCTTTTCCCATATATGTCAAAGCTGCGGATCCCATTGTAATCTTTTGCTTGTTCAGGTTATTGGGGGCTGGGTACCAGTGTGGTGTCTATGATGATGTGCAGAGCTGCTTTACAAGATGTGACCCTTTCCCACTTTGTGTGTCTCTCCCCCAGAGGAGGGTGAGTACTTCTTGAAGGTGCTGATCCCCAGCTATGCAGCCGGCTCTATAATTGGCAAGGGCGGCCAGACCATCGTACAACTGCAGAAAGAGACGGGTGCCACCATTAAGCTGTCCAAATCCAAAGACTTCTACCCAGGTAAGAATGAACGCTCGGTAATTAAAATTGATGAGCATAAAGGCGTACGTACATGAGAGGAGCTGTCTACCTCGTCACCCAGCTGAAGGAGTGGTGCCTTGCTGGAAGACAGCACTTGATATTTCCTCTTCATTTGGCTTCCCAGAAATAATTGCAGTCCATTTTAATCACACAGCAATCATAAACACTCTGAACTTAATTATCCTTACGTCCTTGAGGGACTAAACATGCATGTAGATGTTACAGCTGTCAGACGCTGCATTCAAGTCTGCAGCCATTTCACTTCATTTATTTGTAAGATTAGTTTTTGGCATTTCTGCTATTCATAATGGATTAAATGTGTGCAGCGAGTCTGCGGGCTATGACACACAACAAAGGTTCCTTTTCCAGAGGCTGATGTGCAGGCGTTGCCATGTTACGTGTGCCCCGGCCGTCAGGTTACCAGCACGCTTAGCGATTTCACGCTCAATAAAGGTGCTTGGTTAACACGCTTCATTGTAGGGTTACAATATTTATGTCATTACAGTATAACAACTGTCGGACATTTCTAGTAAAAATCGTGCCGTTGTGTCCACCTCTCCAAAAAATAAGTGCAAATGCTGTGTTGCAGAGGACATACATCCAAAGCACTGATTGTGCTGGAGAATGTCACTCAAAGCTGGCAACAGGAGAAGGATGTTCGTGCAGCTCAGCGACCCCTATCATATGGAGGTCAACGCTGAACCATCTTATCCTCCAAATACAAAACGGCTGAGTCGTAGAGGAGTCTGGGTGTTTGTCCTTCATGCCTCAGAGGAGGCTTCAACCTGCTGAAAAATAACAGGTGCTGAGCGTCTCGCTGCTTATTAGGTCCAGATGTTTTCTGTGATAACTGATGCAAGCAAATAATCCCTGTGTTGTAGTGTCCTTTTTACTGTATATATATATATATAGAACATAAAATCCTGTCTTTAAATAGAAAACATGCAGCTGTAATTTGTAGCCCAGGTTCAGAACGTGAGAAATACTCCAGATGTTTTCAAATCGTCCATCCAGAATGCAGTTTTCCACCATAATGGCTACTTTACATAGTCAGTCTGTCCTATGACCTCTTTAGTTTGAGCTGTAAAGGACAAAATATTACACTATCTATAGGGAAAATACAAAAAGTTTGAAGCTGGCCTGTTGTTTTGTGAGTTAGATGTGATATAGTGAACTGACTGCATCATGGCACTGAACTACTGAGGGAAAGGAAAAGAAGGATGTTTGAGCAAATATTTTTCCTGTCCTGTTTCTTCCACCATGTTTCAGTTCACCGCATTATGAAAGGACGCATGTTCAGAGGGCATGGCTGGGATTCTCTGCACGGGAGGCCGGCTACGTTTGAGGGAATGAGTTACGGCTCGTTCACTGGCATTGGAGCAAATAAAAGGAGTGATATGTGTCCTTATTTCTCGCTTTGGATTGTGGATGTGTTCATAGGCCACCACCTGCTCTGCCCATCCCCCTACTCATTATCGTGATGAGTGAGAAGAAGAGTTCAGGGAGAGAGTGCTGGCAAGGATCTGATTGGGTGGTTGTTCTGGCCCACACAAGTAAAATGAAACGACTGCTACTGTACACTGCACAATAGCTGAGAGTGCCGCTTTCTGAGAGGTCAGCGGAGGCGACACCTTGCTGTTTTAAGTGTGGGCAACCTGATGAAGTTGGTAAAAAAAACTTGTCCTAAACGTTAGAGGCCAGCATTCAGCATGTCAGACTTATCAGCTACATCTGTTTTACTTTCCTTTAGTGTTGAATCAGCTACGGTTTGGGCTAGTATAGCATGCTAATGCCTCTACACACAGTTCACGCCCTTATCGCTCATCCTGCAGCAGACCAAGCACACTCACGACAGCACAATTGCACACCAGAGAAATCAAGGGACAACAACCGATGCAGCCATTTTCTTCTGCTATCCTGTCTGTGGTGGCTCAGTCTGAGACTCCCACCCTCCTCACATCACCCATCCGTCAGTGGAAGACATGAAACCATGAATTTAAAGGTCTTGATGGGGAACTGTACAACTGGGCCCTGCTGTGGCAGACTGAGATGGATGAGCGGAGATAGTGAAGGGTGTGGATGATGCATGATTGTATGTGAGCGAGGGGACAGGGGGGCAGGCCCAGAAATAGCCTGTTTCAATCTCTCTCTGTGGACATGACCCCTCTCCCAGCTGTACTCAAGCTGCTCCCACACACGCCAAGTTTCCTCTTTCCTCCTCCCCACTCACTGTTTCACTCAGCTTTGGTTCCTGGTAGCTGGGAGAGTTCGGCCAGATTCGATGACATCATACTTCTCTTAAAATTTTGTTTGCATGCTCGCTTCCTAACACACGGACGCTAACTTTTCCCATTTTCATTTTCTGATTTGACTAAGCTGTTGCGAGGCTGAACTGCTGCAGCCCCCATACATGCAGCATGCTACGCATTCACCCACTTGTACTGTGCATTCAGCACATACACACGCCTACTTACACCTACTTACTCACATCCGCATATTTAAGCAGCTGCACAGAGAGTTGTGGGAGTTCACGATTTGAACACAAACTTAGAAACAAAACTTCAAACCCTCTGAGCAGCTGGCCTCCAGCCAAGTACACGGATTGAGTTACTTTGTACAGCACGAAGCACATGAGGTTGTTGTGATGTCATAGAAACACAAGGCGTATGTTTTCCATTATCGGATCATAAAATATAAATCACAATAGTGAACTCGTGGTGGGAGACGCTGCTTTTCCACAGTGTATAAGGTGAGCTGTTCCCTTTAGAAAGGAGCGCACAAAGAACCGTCATAAACCTCGTTGTTTCCCAACTCTGTGTCCGTATGCAGCGTGTACTGATGTTCCTTTTTGGACAGTTTCACTTCTGTTTAGGGCCCAGACTTACTTCCCAAGACTGATGTCTGTGTCTCCAGTAAATTATCGTCCAACTTTAAGCAGAAGCAGTTGTTAAAAGGTGGTGTTGTGCGTCTGTTGTTCTGCTTCATGGAGCTAGTGTTGTGTTGTGTTGGAGAGCAGGACTCTCCTGACCTGATCTGCGAGCTCAGGATTGGACGTGTCATTGTATTACACAACAAGTGAACAACTGCTACAGTTTTTTGGGACCGGTAAAGGTCAGCTGATTAAAGGCACACTCTCCTAGCTTTACACACAGGCCAGTGGACTTGTCAAAGTTGTAGGATATTGTCTAGTACTGCCTGAGAAAATCGTGTAGTCACAGATATTTGGGCTTCGGCTGGATAGTTGTTTAGCACAAAACCTGTATTGCAAGCTGGAATTGTGGCGTTTGGACCCCTCATTGTGGTTTTAATGAAGACACGATCAAGCTGAGCTACAGCTCATGTCGTGTTGTTGGGGCATGACCCACACTCAGGACTAAAAGTCAGGATATCTTGGCCTGTGCTGTTTTACTACACTGTGAACATTTGGTTAAGGAGGAGCGGCAAAGCAAGAATGTACCTGCCTGGTTGTCTTGTGCACGTGACAATAAACCTCCTGAATCCTGATTCTTTAGTTCTTTTCAAATGAAGGAACTGTCTCATAAAGCTTTATGGATTTGCATGCTGGAGTGCTCAACCTGTGCTAGTTATTAGACCCCATGACTGCTGACGCTGACACACGTTTTTAGGCAGTAAAAACTTTTGCTGTTAATATATCGGCCTGTAGTCTCCACACACACACACACACACACACACACACACACACACACACACACACACACACACCTACACACACACACACACCTCCTATATAAATTGTCTCATATGAAAACATTTGATCTTTTTTTATAGATTATAAAAAGGATGCCGATGAAATGTTTCAGAGCTCTACTACTTACTAGCTGCCATTAGCACCAGTGCTAGCTACTATTATAAACCCCAGCAGTCCGATAACACAGTGATTTGATTCCCTTGTGCCACAGCTCCTTATTTTAGCATTTAGCTGAGCCTCCTCCTGACCCAGGCCCGCCCGTGCTCGACCTTTTCAACTTTTTGTACTTGACTCATTGTTCTGTGGCGCGATGCTACCAGATTTTTTTTTTTCTTGCAATGCTCTTTTGCTGATGTTCGTTGAGTATTGTTAGCACAGCATTCTAATTTAAACCCATTTACTTGTTCTTTGCAAAAAGGAAAACCGAATTCCTGATTGGCTTTTAATTACTGCGAGCTGTGTTGTAGATCCATGCTGTGTACTGGAGCTGCCAGACAGGTAAACGCCGTGTCTGGTGTTGGCTCGACACTTTTTAGTGAGATAAACCAAAAAAACCAGAATGTTCTATGCAAAGATTGTGTAGCAACAGAAAATGAGACAAGACACGCATCAGTGAGGATCAGTAACTGTGACATAGATTACCGTACAGAGTAAAACTGTCTGTTTTCAGTTGTGTCGTTTTTGCTTGTGTCACAAAATGTCTGAGGAACCGTCTCCACCGTCTGCAGTTTGTGTTGCGTAGCTCCTCCATTTGCTTTCATAATAGAAGGAACATCACAGTGGTTTTGGTGTGCAGATGTTATCATTTGTCACGGGATTAACGTGGATCTGAACGTACAGAAAACGTTGCGCTGCTGACATGGTTCACCGTGTTCACGTCACGTTTTGCTTTAGTTGATTCTGCTGCTCAACACAACTTTCAAAGCTCTCCATCGTTTGATTTGCTTCATGTATTTGCTTAGCGTTTCTGACGTATGTATTTCTGATGCTTACTGGTCAAATATAACACTATTTATAGGGTTTAATGTTTGTTTAACGTGAGTCTGGTTCTGTTTTTACTTCATGTCACATACAGGGCGGCAAATCTGTATTAATCCACTACTGGCATAATCCCCAAAAAGACTCCATTTCCACCTGTTTTGGTGACGTTTGCTGAAGACCAGAGCACACAGCTGTTATAGGGGCACTGGTGGAATTCCTAAGACAAGTGTAGCTGTACATCTAATCTGTTTGTAAAATGTAGAGACCACCGACGTAACGGCTGAGTCAGGACGTCTTTTCAAGACAATACAGAATATAGGATGTCACCAGGCTTATCTTACAGAAAAAGATTGTGTTCAGCTTTAAACTGTCTTTGAGGCCTGATCAAAAGACTTCTGGTGTCCTTACTGTTCAACAGAAACATTCCAGGTGTATTTCAGTGGAAAACAGATCCTCCATTACTGCTGTATTTATACCTTTAGGGGACCCATAATCCCATTTGTGCCTACACGCACAGTTTACTTGCATTGCTCATCTTCCAGCCGGCTAGAACCAGGTTCACAGAGCAGCTCAGTCTGTCACTAAAGTTCCTGCTTCTCTGCGCTAAATTCCAGGAAAATACTCTAATAAGTTGGACTTGTTTTCTGTGTTTGTTCTTTCAAAGATGGCCACAGGGATTGGTGGGAAGTTCTGGTCAGGGCGTGATGTCATGTAAAAGTTTTCCAGCAGACGTCTTCTGTTTCACTACAAAAGATTCCCACAATTAAAATCAGTGTTTACATGTTACGAAGGCGAGCCATATGGCAGCAACGTGACATGATGAATATAATCACAACTGAGATTTCCAACAAAACCGTTTCAGCTCAGTTTGTAGTGTGAATAATTACTTAGAAAATCTGCTGATGTGATGACAGTAATTATGGGTGATACTTTAAGTGTGGCATGCTAACAGTCTAAATAAATCAGACAAAGGATTTGGACAAGCTAAAGCAGAGACAGTTTCTCATCACGGAGAGGCTGCGTCAACCGGAGAGAAGTGTTGAAACTTTTCTTGCTTCAGGATCAAGATAGAAGACCTGAGAGTCACTGGTCTTGTGGGGAAAGCTGAAGGCTGAGATGTGTGCTCTCTGGGGCACTGACACATTTCGGTCCCCTGCTGCCAAGAAAAGGACAAGCTCACTGGTGCTGTGACTCAAAGCACAGAGCTTTTATTATGAAATTCGTCACTCTCTAACAGAGACGCAAGGCAAGAGCTGACGCAAGCAGTTCAGGAAGTGGAAAGGGTGGAAAAAAAATCCAGCGTTCAGATAGTTTTATGAGCTCTTTATGGTGTATCATCAGCGACAAAAGTTGAAGTAACACATCATCGTCTTTCCTTTAGGATAAACGATCAGCGACCTGGGAGCAATACTTATTCTCCATCTGTGAAAATCTTTGTGGATGCTGAGATGTTTAGCTGGATGTGAGTGTGCAAAGCAGAGGGAACTCCTCACTCAGCACTTCATGTTGGAAAAGTGTAGATAAAGCAGTGTGGACGACGAGTCGGGCCGGGACGTCTTCTAAGGATGGGTTGCGTCACTCAAGATGGCCTAGTTTGTATGTTTTTGCATCTGTGTGGGGCAAGAAAGGAGGTTGCTCAGTCTGAGAAAATGACAGCAAATGAGACCACATGAAATTCCTGAAAGTCACAGCAGAACCATGAAGTCATGCACATGTTCTGATTCTAACCCATTCTGTTTGGGTCCTGGCTACAGACACAAGCACGATTCCAGAATTTACTTCCGTTGACTGCTTTGACTTACAATACTAATTAAACACAAAGGTAAATAACGGTATTTGGGCATCATAGGAAATAATACCCACTTGTTATCTGATTGGTTTACACACTGGCCCTGGACTTTGGGCATTTTTATATCTAGAAAGCTTTATGCACGTGTTTTATATAATGTTGTGTAAAAAATGCATGGGCTGAGGACACACACGTCTACAGCAGGTTAAGCGCTTGTATTCGCAGACGTCACTTTGTCACTTGAAGAATGACAGGCTGGTGGCGCTCAGCACCACGACACGCCGAATGTGCTTCTGTCCAAGCAGGTTTCATTTATAGTCTGCTTGGTTCTCAGTGGGATCTGGATTCACATTTGTTATAGTCTCTTCTAGAGAAAAAAAATAAGGTGACGGGAGCTTAACGAGGTAAATACGCAAATAAGGTCAAAGCAGTTTAGGTGCCCTTTCCCTCCATTTTGCCTAATTAGAGTTTTCTATTGCTTTTCCTGGTATGTGTGAGCTGACCTATTGGCTGTCGAGATCCATTATTCAACATATCTGTGGCACGGAGCCGATCAGGTCTGACTTCAGCTCATTTTCATTCACTTTATTTGAGCATTTTCTGAGTGCTGGTAAAGGGCTGGAGGACAGATGCACATGTTTGTGTCACTCGTCTTGAAATCTGAGAACTGAATGAAGAGGAAAACGATGAAGTAGAAGAACACAAGATCAACTCATCAGCTGGTCTTTCTCATTTACACATTTTACCCAATCAGTGGGGAAAATGGTGCCTCGTGGTTTGGTTTGATTCTCAGATTTAAGCCGTATGTCAGAGCAGCGAAGAAAATCAGGAGAAATTTCAGATTTGACCAAAAAATAGTCAAGAGTGCAAGGCAGGAAGGTCGGCACAAAAGGCTGAGTGTTTTAAAAATCTTGCAAGCAAGTATAAAGGACTCGCTGTTGCATCACCTGTTTCCACAGCTCGGCCCCTTTACCATGGCAACGGAATGCCGGTTGGGTCGTCAATGTGGGCGTAGAAAGAAGCCTAGAGGAAGAATAAATGTGTGTTTAGTCTATTAGAGCTGCAAGGCAAGGACAGGCTCAGTATTACAGCACTGAAAGTGTTACATCATTGAAGAGGAATCCTTCTCCCCCCCTGTGGCTCGCTAACCAAGCACGGTTCAGTCTTTCAGCTGTTTCTCTGTTGATTGTGTAAATGGAGGAAGCGAGGAATAGCTTAGTAATTGGGTCTCTTTGTGAAATGTCAAGGAACATTCTTCATTGCCAAGGCATCTTAATATAAATGTAGATTTTAGCCCAGCCCCCCAGCAAATCCCTCAAATCTGCTTGCCAAGTACCCACTCAGAGCACATTAGAGTAACCCATCTCCTGTGTTTGTCCTCTTCCTCCTCTCTCATCAAAGGAACAACAGAACGAGTCTGTCTGATACAGGGTACGGTCGAAGCCCTCAATGGCGTCCACAACTTCATCGCGGAGAAAGTCCGCGAGATGCCCCAGAGCGCCCAGAAACCAGAGCCAGTCAGCATACTGCAGCCACAGACCACGGTCAACCCCGACCGAGTCAAACAGGTGAGCTTCTGTGTGTTCATTGTGTGGTCTTACGTGGTAGGAACAGTTCACTTCCAGGACGCTTTGTTTATTAGTTGCCAGTCTCGCTTGTTCTCTGGGCCATGACCCACAGTCTGGTCGGGTCAGGAAAATGTGAGGGTATGTGGTTATTTTTACCGACAGTCTTTCATAGCGAGACAGAGCCGTGTGGCAGCTGCAGCCTAAACCCCTGGGATTAACAAATCGCTGAGTAAAGCGGGGGCTGGTATAGTACTCTGACTCAGTGAGCGATATCCATCTTTCTGTTGACCATTTGTGCTTTTAAATCTTTCTCATGTTACCTTTTATTGCTACCACAATTTTTCTATTTCTCGACAGGCCAAACTGATCGTACCCAATAGCACAGCTGGGCTGATCATTGGCAAGGGCGGAGCCACAGTCAAAGCGGTGATGGAGCAGTCAGGGGCTTGGGTGCAGCTCTCCCAGAAGCCAGAGGGCATCAACCTGCAGGAGCGAGTGGTGACCATCAGTGGGGAGCCAGAGCAGAACCGTAAGGCTGTGGAAATCATAGTGCAGAAAATCCAAGAGGACCCTCAGAGCAGCAGTTGCCTCAACATCAGCTATTCAAACGTCTCGGGCCCAGTGGCCAACTCCAACCCCACCGGCTCCCCCTACGCCAACACGGCCGAGGTGCTGCCCAACGCAGCCGCAGCAGCCGCCACCGCGTCCAGTCTTCTGGGTCAGGCTGGATTGACAGGAATGGGCGCCTTCCCTGCCGCCATGTCCAGCTTCTCTGGCAATGACCTGCTGGCCATCACCTCAGCCCTCAACACGCTGGCCAGCTACGGCTACAACACTAACACGCTGGGCCTGGGCCTCAACCCTGCAGCTGCTTCTGGGGTCCTCGCTGCAGTAGCAGCTAGTGCTAACCCAGCCGCTGCAGCGGCGGCTAACCTGCTGGCCTCCTACGCAAGCGATGCCTCCAGCAGTGCTGGCCACCCTGCTACAGGCCTCGGTGGGTTCTCCCTGGGGTCTCTAGCAGCTGCTACCGGGGCTTCCAACGGTTACCTAAATGCTTCATCTCCACTGATGGCCTCCTCCCTATTGGCAACAGAGAAGCTGGCAGATGGGGCCAAGGACGTGGTTGAGATTGCTGTGCCGGAGAATCTGGTGGGCGCCATTTTGGGAAAAGGAGGGAAAACGCTGGTAGAGTACCAGGAGCTGACAGGAGCCCGCATCCAGATCTCCAAAAAGGGAGAGTTCATTCCTGGTACTCGGAACCGTAAAGTTACCATAACAGGGTCGCCAGCCGCTACGCAAGCAGCGCAGTATCTGATCAGCCAGCGGATCACTTACGAGCAGGGCGTGCGTGCTACCAACCCACAAAAGGTGGGCTAAAAGGAAAAAGAAGAGCAAGGAAGGAAAGGATGAAGACAGAGATAGAAGGGAATTGAGAGTCACGATGAATAGAAAAAAAAGAAACGTCCAAATATCTGTTCAATATTTCAGTATCAAATGAGAGAATCACAAAGGAGGAGGTGGGGGAGACAACCAAGATAAGTGTGTGTGAAATGTGAATGTGTTTTTAGGACTTACGTCCTGATGTTTTTTAAAAGTTTGTGTCGAGTCCTTTTGACGATGGTGATCAGAGTAAGCTGAACTGGTCCACTGCCAAGCTGCAGATTCAAGGGTGAGGCCGCAGGGCTTCACCCTCCTCCAAAACCTCATAGCTGTTTTATTTTCCTTTTTGTGTTTGGTTTTGTTGGTTTTAATTTCAGTTGCAAACCTCAGCTCCCGGTGAGCTGAGCAAGTCAGATGAAGTTCCAGCCAGCTAATAGAGCTGTTTTACAAACCTTGCTCTTTGTATACAATGCAGAATGCATTGTTCACAGGATGAGGTTTTATGACAAGCACCTGAGGTCATCTCAGTCTATGGGGAAGCAATCTGAGTATAATTTCTTAAAAAAAAAAAAAAAAAATCACATCTTTGTTGACATATGTTGAATTCTGGCTCATATCATAATTGAAGTTTCTAAATTTGGGTATTTTATATTTTCATCCTTTATTTATTGACATGGTCTCATTCAAACACAAATAGATTATTTAAACCTGTGAATGCAGGTTGATCTGAATGTAAAAACAATATTAGCCTAATGCTATTTTTTATTTACAGGGATCAAATATTGTGTTGCAGTGAAAGAAATGTATAACTCAAACCCAGTCTGAACTTCACTGTTGCTGTCTGCAAGTATAGTTCAGGGGTTAAATAATCAATGTGAGAGGATAGAGGAGACACACAGGAATGTATAAATATATTTTACATAAACACACATAGATGATGCTCCCGCAAACGCACAAACACTGAAACATATTTGCATATTCAGTCACAGCTCCAAACACACAGAAATATGTTGTTGTTTAACCCTTTCTTGGTGCTATAGGATTAGGTTTATATCTCCTTTACCATGAAATCAAAATCTCTCTGGCGACTAATCTCTTTACTTGATTTAAAACAGCCGATGTGTCGTCCAGCCATTAGTAGCCCATTGGATCTAACCCAGCCTCTCTCACCTAATGACAAATGATTGATTTCAGCATTTTTGTGATGATAAAGCAATCCAGTCTTAGTATTCCAAGTCCATTCTTGCTCCAAATGCAGGCCTTGTTTTTTTTTCTTTTCTGTTCTTTTTTTTTAAGACAAAAAATTGGCCATCCTCGAACAGATATTACCTGATATCATTTTTGCCTTAGTCAGACGTTTTGTAATTCCCAAGTATAAACTTAAAGCTCAGACTACCTTGAAGCAGTGTCTAACCAGTTCAGTTCGCAAAGGGAACAAAGCACTACAAAAGCATTTTGATAAGAAAAGCTGTATGAACCAATATCTGTGAACAAAGAAACTATTGCCTTTACATTAAGGGTACCAAATAGTCAAGAGACACACACTAATGAAAGGGAAGTAGAATGACACTTGAAAAGAAGGTTTGGACTCACTTTTTCTGTGAGCCGTCCTTCCTAATTTGCATCAAGACGGAAAAAAAAAAAGGAAGAAAAAAAAGAGAGAATAAAAAGAGGATTCTGCAGTTCTACCAGGCAGCCTGTTATCGTTCCCAAAACACGTTAAAGCTCACTAACCTCGGGTGGAGCACATAATAAAACATAAAATGTTTTGGCATCGTTGTCTTTTATGGGCAATTGTTTGTCTAATGCAGGCAGGCTAATTGTCTCGAGCATTTCTAAGCACTCGAAGATTACCTTGGCTTCCTTCTGTGCTGCTATCCATAGTGTTCATCCTGAGTACACTGGGTCTCTGAAGACTGCACTGTGAGACATTAAGAACACAATGTAAAGCGTGTCTGTCCCTGCTTGGGATGTGAGTATATTTTAATGTGCACATCTATGTCACATACACAAGACCTACCAATACTGACGGGAGGGATATCGCCACAAGAGCATTTATACTCCAGCGTCTTGTGATGTTTCTGTTTACCAATGCACTGCACTTCAATTAGCGGACATTTTCCTATCAGCAAACTACAAACTATTCTCACCACATTTTCCCGCACCGTATTCTCCAATCCTACGACGTCCACTTTCCGCCCCCCCCCCGTTGCTCTAAAGACATCGTTCAATTGTCCCCATCAACCCAAGCTCTATGATCAGCTTCCTGAATACACGGCTGTGAGGGTTGGTGCTGAGTAGTGTCCAAGAAAATCAGAACCACTCCCAGTTTTTTGGAAAATTTTAATGAATAGCCTTTTCATTTGTCATAATTCATGTTTGAAAGTAAACAGATCTGAAACAGCTCTTTGTGTCTGAACATTATGCGTGGCAATTGCAAACAGCGAGCCTTTTTTCCTACCTGACAACTTTCCTTTCACTACGTGTCTGGAAGGCTTGGCGGTCATCCACGGCGACGATCCGGCCACCAGTGAAATCACTGCATGAGATAACCTTTTACTGCCCAAGATTTTAGCATATAATAAGATACAAGCACAAAACAAGGGGATGTTTTATCAATGCAACTGGACTGCTTGACTGCAGGGAGCTGTCCGTCGGAGCTCTCTGATCAATACATAGTGCCAAACGCTATTTCTCTTTGCCCCTCATTAACTTTCCTCTTTCTCTCAACATTTTATTCCCCTGCATGTTGCTGTTTCTCACCGTTCTGATTTTCCTCCTGTGTCCTGATCCCCGTCTGTGCTTCTTCCTACACTGTGCTCTCCCCCTCTTTCTCCTTCCTCCTGTCTTGTCTTCTCATGGGCGGTGTGTTGGATGTGCTGCTGGTGGGAGTTATGCACTATAGGTCGCGAGGGTATGAAAACATTATCCCGGGCCGTAGAGTTCACAAAAGGCTAAAATGCACAGAAAACACCTGCCTCCGAAACTGTGACACCCACCAAGACCAACCAGCAGAGTTAGCTCAAAGTATCAGATTCCCTCTATAAGAAGAACAAGTAGGATCCAGACAGGTTCAGGCGGCGATCCACGGCCTTTCAAGGGAAGAGAAAGCGATGTATTTTTTTTCCAAAAGAAGGCAAATCTTGGTTGAGTAAATATTCATACACTGGCTGGCCTCAAGTGTCGGCCTCCAAACAGCATAGTAAGGACAGAATGCATACGAGAGCGAGAGTAAGGTGGGAACTTGTTTGTGACCTCAAGCCGAAACAATGACATCCTTTATGCATATCCTGTTATCTGAAAATGACTAGAATTCATTTCTGTGGAATACAATATGTCATGTCATATGATCTATATGTACTTTATTGTAGCTATTCTAGTTTGTAGTCCAAATGCAGTCCAGCGTTGTCGATACAATGTGAAACTATGTTATATTTGTGTGGATGATGAGAGTGCCAACTAAGCCTGATTAAGATTAGCTTCGCGATTTGTTTGTGCATTATGATGACTCATCATCGACCGGTGGTGTCCATATTTCTGTCATTGATGATTTAGTTTGACAGTAAGAAAATGTAAAGAATATTGGAAGCAATATAGTAGCATGTTGTCCTGTTTTGTGTTTTATGTCTGTTGTATGAACCTTTGAAATTACTAAGATTTTGAATGAATAGGTTTACATGTACTTTTTGTAAGTTATGAAAATGCTGCTATTTGATAAGTAAACTATACAAAATATTTTAGTTGAAAAGATGTCTGGTCTGTTGATTAGAAACATGCTCTAAAAGGCTGGAGCATAAAACGAGGTGTATAGAATACTATACAGTATTGGTAAGATAGTAAAAGTAATAATAGACTCCATAGTACAACCTGTGCCAAACTAGACCTCCGCAGCTTCTGAAATTGTAGATGTGCGATCAAATGTTAGATATCAATAACTTGTTTAGAAGTGCTGATCAAGTGCCAATCAAACACTGTCTTTTAAGTTAAGAAAAGATAATCAAATACATTACTTAAGAAAACAAAGGACAAAGAACTTTTTGTGCATTGTTTTATCCCATAGGTACATAGAGTAAGAGTTAAAGATTGTGATTTTTATGGATCCATGTTGTTTTACACTCCATGCATCCCTTGTGTGTTTGTTTGACCTGTGGCTTAAGTACTGCTGTTTTCTCACAAATGTCTCTATAGGCCAGCATGGACTAAGCATAACATGTTATAAGCATTCATAACATAGCCATTAACAATCAAAAATGTGTTTGTGGAGTTAGGTGTTATCTTTTTGCACGTCTTCTATTGCATGGTATCAAAGTAAATTATGGAGGAAAAAAAACTACAAAAATTTGCGAGGTGTCTCTCGCAACATTCAATGACATAACGCTGCATGCAGTCAAATGTAAAGCACTTAAGTTTACTCGCCTCATGTTAACAAAGTTGTTTTTTATGTTGTGAGTTGGGAGGGAGCTCATTATTGTCATGTTGGCCCGAAAACAAAAAAAAAGACACAGACACACACACACACAAACACACACACACACACACATCTGAGATCAGATTTCTCATCGATCAAGTTCATCTCTCGGCATCATCAGAGAAGATTTTTAGATTTCTAGGTGCAGTGAGGAGTATTAAAAATGTGAAACAAGCAAACGTGAAAATGTTACTCAGTGCATTGGCTCCTTGTGTTTTTAGGATATCAGGCATGCGTTTCGTTCTCCAGCAGGTTAAACCTCATGTGACCTGTCTCATCATGGTCTAGACTTGTTTTACGTCACAGCTTAAAAGCCCAGATCTAATCTATGAATGTACCCATTTGCTTTTTTTTTTCAGTTCTGTCGAATGTTTATCGGTCTTTAATGTAAATTCAGGGCAGGAATGTCAAATACATGTAGAGTTAATATCTATGTCAATAACAGATTTCACCTATAGTCAGGTAGGCCTCCCACGGCCACAGTCATGAACCAGATATGTTTTAACACAACTTCCGATTCGCTGTCAACATTATCTTGTTTGTTTGGTGTTGCATAAATGCACTTTACTGATCAGTGGGTCATACTGGGTGTGAAATGAAGCAAACCATGTTGGCTTTCAACAGTTTGAGTTTATTTTATTGCCATTTTTCTGTTTTTTTTCCTTCTTTTTTTTGCTGTTGCTCTGATGTGACTTTTATTTATTTATTCCCTGATCCTGTTGGGTCTCATGAATGATGGAAAGGGCTGGAGTCTCAGACAAAATAGAAAAGTAGCACCTGTTTCCTCACTCGAAGGAAGGCTTCTCCTTCACATTCCCTTCAGCAGAGGTCTGTGTCAATCACTGCGTGCTTTGTTTTGAACCAACGTGTGAAACCAGGACGGATCTGTACACCTTTGTCCTTTTGCATCCTCTTTTGCTTTTTAAAAAAAAAAAAAAAAATCCAAATTTAAACGTGGTTTTCGTTTCTCCAGCAAATTGGGATAAAAGCACTGGACTGAAGGCACTGAGGGATGCAAGCTCAACATCTGGCTGACACAGCAGTCAGGTCTGAGAGACAAAACCGGCACCAGCAAAACGATGATTGCCTCTGCCACCTCAACACGATGAAAATCACAGAGGAAGCCGTTGAATGGTTAAGGTCTAGCTATACGAACGATGTTTCTGTCTCATTCTGTTGTGTTGCACACCCCTGTCGCTGCATTTACTGCTTCACATCCGAATGCCAAACGAATTGCAGTATCATTCCAAAAGTTGTCATGTTTGTTTTGATTCTCACTCCAAATGTATTCTGGACGTTCATCCACCCCCACGGAGCCCTTTCACAAGAAGGCTAGGACTGGTTTTAAACTCTACAAACTGGCTAAGGCTGCTCGCTCCTCTCTTAAAACCTCTTCTACCTGAGTCTCACGCTCTCAGCCTACACGATATCACGATTTGTGTTCCATCACACCGAGCACCTGCTACTGTGTCCACCCTTTAAATGGATTAAGGTATTTCTGAGCCCTTTCGTCTGAGAAAATACAGGATTCTTTGCCAACCAGACATGAGGCCATTTTTGTCTTTGACCCTCTGAACCTCCCATGAACTTTGTTGACCTTCTCCATCCCCAAGAACTCATATATGTGTTGGATATTTTACACCACTTTTACTGTCAAACTCTGCCAGACTGTTCTTTTTGTTTCCTGGTTATCTGGACAATTCTGCAGGGTTAAACGCTTGCTTAAGTGTACACTGAAGAAAGCATGCCAGTACCTTGCAAACATTTTCACGTCATTGTAAATTTTCTTTCGGGGTTCGGTTTTACGTTGTTTAACCTCTGTTCTTTCCATCTCAGAAAAAAATGGACTGACAGCATAAAATCAATTATTCCAACCTAAGCAAAGTGATGTTTTGTTGATTGGGTGCATTTCTCTTTGATATTAACGACAACGGTTCTGTCTTTCATTTGTGACGAGCGAGGAGAATCTGTGAAAGTCCACAGTGTTAACTACCTAAAGGGCTTTCTAGGACAGCATTTATATGTCTTTTAAAATGAAAAAGTCCTCTGAATATGTTCAGAAAGGAAAAAATGCCTTCTTGTGCCATTTTAGAAAAAGTGTGAAAGCTTTTTATGGCAAATATTTGTCAGCAAGAGTGCCAAATAATTCCATACTGAGCCAAAAGGCTGCCAGCCTGCATAACTAAATGTTAGATCACTGGAATGGTTCCGTCCCATTTCCACTCCCCTTGAAAAACATCACCCTAATCGTACAACGTTTGAGCTCATGTACCATTATTGTTATGCTGCCAGTCTGTTTTCTGCTTTTGTCAGAGAAACATCTCAGAAGCAGTATATTTTCTAAATGATACACTGTTGATAAAAAAAAGACAACAGCTACTTTGGTGAGGGAATGAGAGGATTTTAAAAGTGTCATTGTTTTTATTATTAGTTTATTTGAACATTATTCATTAATAGATTTAACGGTAATGACTATTTAATGTAACTGTAGTACTGTGTTTGTAAAAGAAATTCAGTGAGTTGTGTTTTATGACTCGTGGACTACCAGTGAAGTCAGCATTTCAGTGTTAATAATTGAATTGTTTTTTAAAGATTATTTTTGCGACGGCAACAAAGAGTCATTATAAATGTTCATTTTAACATCACTTGTCTTCTGTTCCTTTTATTCTCCACCTCGTCCCTCTGCTCCGTCTCGCTCCAGCGAAAGGTCGAGCGTTTATATAATTGCAACCAACACATTCTATGAATAGATCGATTTCTGAGGAGCCCAATCCGAGCACATGTTTAACCGTGTTGACGTGGACAAAGCGCTCACACGACCAGGAACCAGCTGAAGGTGCAGCAGCTATGTGGTCCAAACTTCACACCTGGTTTCTGTGGATTTATCTGATGGTTGGGTTGTTTGCTGAGGGCAGGGTGTTAGACAATGAGCACTCCATTTACTACCTCATTATGCTCTTCAGCGTAAAAAGCTCGTTTTGTTGCTTTATAGTGGCGGCGACTTGGTCCAGAGCCCGTCTACAAACATGAAGGTTTTGTTTCATTCAGCTGAGCAGTCGAGGAACAGCTCTACATGTTTGTCTTCTCTCTGATCACATTTTGAGCACAAGCTGCAATCTACACTGAGATTATGAGATTTTATAGGTGGAGGCTAATTCACTCTTTCCACACTCACCCACACACACTCAGGCCTTCCTACTTATTCTGGCTGACGAATTAATTGAAGCTATGCTAAGAATAATCTGACCAACAGTGTTTGTACACACTAATGGAAGCAGAGTGTGTGCACACCTCAGCCTGAAAAGACATCACAATAGGTAACACAGGTGTGTGTAGGTAGACCATACACTGTGTGAAGAAGTCACTGCTTCCTCCTATTGTGGAGAAAGTGAGGCCAACATTTTACATCTCGTACTGGTGATGCCATTTGCAAACATTTTCTGACTCACTGGATGCAGAGAGTCGATCAACGCCTCCCCTCGGTCGTGCATTTCACTCGGCTTGCTCACCTTCCACTATCTGGACACGACCGAGAAACAAAACCCGGGCAGCAACCTGTACGCAAAAACATTTAAGATTTGTTGAACTGTTGGATCATGCCAGAAGCAGCCCTACTGCTGTGACTGTTGCACAAAAACAGTTCCCTCATCACTATGTTAGTGAATCCTGTTCATCAAAGGTGACTGTGATCAATTTATAGAAATACAAACACACCAAAGCTTTTATCCCCCCCATAGCACAACGATGAGGTTCAGTCAGACCGTTCTACGCAGCGCTGTGTCAGCACGAGTGGCCGGCTATGCGAGACTGGTGCAAGAATGACCAAGTGCTAGAATGAATCAGCTGTGCTGTCTGAACTACCCACACTTACCTCCATCACCAGTCGCTGCTGTTCAGGCTTCCCACTAAGTCCAGCAGCAGCCATGATGACCAGCGAATAGAAACACGAGCTCAAGGCCGCCTGCTTCCTGCCCGACACGAAGGGGAGAAAAGGTCTTTAGAATGAGTAATTAGCATTTTTACATTATCATCTCAGGTAAACAGTAATTAGTACCTGACCAGTAGCTTACTTGTCTCTGTTTTTGTTCCTATGGATTGCTTGTCCACTTAGCTTGCTAGCTACATTAGCATCATTAGGTTAGGCTTCAAACCCCAGTATAACTGTACAGTAGGCCCTCCAGGTATCTCAGACTATCAGCTCAGTTTACTGCCGAGCACCTCATTCAGAAACAGATGATGATAATAATGTGTTAATGAAGGGGAGCAGGTCTGTGACTCTGATGTACGACGACTGAGCAGAAGACCACGACTGCAATGTTCAGAGCATCAATCAGGCCAAACAGACACTTTAACAAACACCAATGTGATTGGAAATATCTGACAGTAACCTCATTCTACTTAGATGTTTTATTGTCCCAGCTGCTGGCATATATTGTGCAGGTTTATGGCCTCCATGACAACCAGCATCCAGGAGAAGTCCAGATATTTTAATGTCACTTTTAGGAAGCTGTCCTGTTGTCCATCTTTATTTACAACTAACACGCCAATGTTTAAGAGGTAGCCAGTGTTTCCTCTCCATGCTCATCATTTGAATTTAGCGTAGCAGCATGCTAACATTTGCTTAACACAAAGTACGGCTGACGTTACGAGACTGTCATTAGTTTTGCAGATATTTGATCATAAACTGACATTTTGGTGTGACGATGATGCTGGAAAAAAACAATCTAACAGTCACTAAGGTGATGACAAATTAATCTGACAGGAAGACAACTGAACCACATTTCATACTAGTCATATAAAAGATGGATCAGTCACTTATGAAGTGCTGCTTTGAAGCCAAGAGTATTTAACTATAACTGGGGACGTTATTTACAAAATGAATATCATTCTGTTTTCAAAAAGTCTAGAAACTAGTGATTTAGAACAAAAAGTCAGTAGACAATGGTTAGAGGGGAAATAGATCAAGTGAGGATTAGGGTCATTTTTTCGTAGACTTTTATTTAGTCGTACTTCTTTTTACAACCAGAGGAGTCGCCCTCTGCTGGCTGTGGGAAAGAATGCAGGTTTTAGGCACTTCTGTATTTGCTTTATCACTTTTTTTTATAAACAGTCAGTGATGCTAACCCATCCAACAGTTGATGAGACCTGGTGGTGACGCCACAGAGGACAAATCGTGGCATCACAAGAGCTGCAAGATTCATCCTCTGGGGACAAGGTTTGAATTTTTTGGGAACAGTTGTTGAAATATTCCAGCTAAATAGTGAAACAATAAACTGGCGATATCGTCATCACAGCCACAGTACTACCATGGCTTGTAATCCAGCAATTTTCTCTTTTCCAGTGGAGAAGCCTCTGAGCAGGCGCTCAGGCCGTCTCAGACCATTCAAAGTCTCCACTGACGCCCTGCAGGGTAATGAAAACCTTTCATTGGTAAAGGCCTCTAATGGCAGTGTTATGCAGTAATACAGCAATTCTGGGACTGAAAGACCTTTACTGTTTAATCATGTTGAATAAGTTAGATTTTATTTGCAAATCCTCTGGAGCAGGGGTACTCCGGTGTGCTGGAGGTGGATGAAACGGCTGTTTAATACCTACTATTGAATGCAAGTCGATATTGGTGCTATAAATGTAGCCCTAAATACGCCGTCATTAATCAGATTTAAGAGGTTATCAGTGCGTGCTGTCAGTTCAGTTGGAATGGGTTCCACTTGAAGCAGGCTGGCACAGGATTACTGATGTACAAGCAAATGTACCCATTCACAAGTAAATGCACTCCTAAATCATGTTATAGTTCAAATAATTGAATGCAAACTCTGTACGAGCTGCGAGCGCAGTCCCAATCGCTCCGACATAGAACTGCAGTTAAGTTAATGGGTACAGTTCAAGTTCTGCAACATGACTTTTATGTAATGACATCCATGAGCCATCCAGCACACAGCCATTCCTCCTACGCTGTTTGACCTTGTTCATTATCCAGCAAATACACTCCTAATCTTCTGAGCTCTGCAGCTACACAAGCAAGGAAGGTGACATCACACAGAGGGCTGAAGCTTTACCAAGATCATGTCCGCAGCGTTTTTGTCCTTTAAGTTCCACATTTTATATACAGTGGTTCCTGAAATGCAATATATTCTGAGTTTGGCATGTTTAGATTGACCCTATTGTGGCCAATTTGTTTTTTGTTTTTAAAATTTTCTACATAAACATGGTTCCTGGCAGAACTGCAGTGTGAAGAGGGCTCTACCGATGCCTATAAATATTAAGAAATTAATACAATGAAAGATGTGTTTTAAAAAAAATAAAAAATCAGAGTAATAATTCTGGCATATTGTTAAAATTGTCTGGAGGAGAAAATGTTCCCTTGAAGAAAATCTTTTAAAACAGCTTCTGCACTCATGAGCTTAAATTTTCTAAATAAAGGAAGTTTATAGAGGGAGAAATAAAACTGTACAGCTAGTTTAATTTAGAAAATCTGAATTCCTTTATAGGGGCCGGTGGAATTCAGTGAAGAAGACACAGCAGCAGATGGGCTAGCCTCATGAAAAGCTTGCTTGTAGCTTGCATAACAATGGTCACAATGACTAACGAACTTGCAAATATGGCCCGACAATTAGGCATATAACTGCATGAGTAAGTGGTTGGAAATAGTAACCGTCCTGAGGTCACTGGTGTTTGGGGAGTTTACCAGATTGAATTGATGAACTGCAGTTTGTCCCTCATAATGTCATCAGAATATCTGGACTGCTCGTCATGTATCTGAGCGCGTCGATGAAAAGCAGCAGCGTTTTCAGCCTTAATAACGTTATCCTCCCGTGTCTGCCTTAATCATATCATCCAATCTGCTTTTTGGTGAGCGTTTCAGACCAACAGCACCGTCCTTACATTACAATCACCTCACATTGTCCACTGTGCAGCATTAGAGGAAAATCATAATTCAACATTTTCTGCACATCTCAACCCATCCGATGTCTCATTTCTACCTTGAACTGAGGTGTAAAACCCTGCAGCAGTATACATTTAAGGCACATTTGATTCCTGCTGTGAGAGAAGGTAGCAATGGGCTTGAATGATAAAATTGCGTTGTCAAGGTAACAGGTTGTTCTGAAGACTGCAAATATGTCGTATTGGGGATGCTCCTATACAATATTTCACCCTGCAGCCTGTGTAGCGCTGAACTACGTAAGCTCTGCATTTCACTCTCTCAAAGTCAAGCAGGTAAGCGCAGATGTAATAAGCTTTGCATTCATAATTCAGAGATATTTAATAGCCAGTCTATCTTCATCAATATTATTGAGATTATTCACTGCAAATCTCATTTGCAAAACCAAATTGTCGCTGTCGGAAACCTTGAGGTGGCACAGTGATTTCTTTCAAATGATGAATGAGGGAAAAGGTGGAAACTGCGAGAGAATACACTAAGGCACCCTTTAACATGGCTCCTGAAGTAACCATGGATACCTCTATTTCATGGATGGAGTAATTTTAGCTGGAGTGGGATCTGAGGGATACATATCACTGTTACTGCACTCAACATCATATATTATCACGTTTTAAATATCGGGTTACATTCTGTGTATATTAAAGCATGCACATGCATAAAGTCTCACAGTATGCCGTATCCTCCACATGCACTGGGCCGACATAC